ATTGCATAAATGGAACAACTGCGAGGCAGTTCCTGGAAGCCAGATTACTGTATTACATTGCTAAATATGGATGAATGCTAATAGAAGCAGAAATGTGTGCAGTTTGTATATAGAATATGACATCTGGTTTCCTCCTGGCTTTGTTCAGAGACCAGAGGTTTTATTTATAAATGGGGATAAGATGGAGAACTGATGTGTTTGAGTTTTGTTGTTTCTTAGGAACTACAATTTAATGATTGATTAATCATTATCAGTTTTCACACACGGGGGAATGTCTGTCTGAGTGTTTTTTTGATTTATTTCTAATTTTTTTCTCTCTATGTTGTGAGTTTCTTTTTTTTCACAGGGACAATGCTGTTTGTCATGGGGAGATGATGTTCCACTTTCACCTGGACCGGCGAGGGGCTGCGGCGCCACCTCGTGCAAGCCATTTCCACCTGGCATTCCTGGGGATCCTTTCGAGGAGGACCATTCGTTCCAGCTTCATCACATTCCACCTTGAGCAGGCGTGATTCCTGCTGTTCTGTTGTGGTTTCTGATCACAAACCCTGCTTTTATTTGACATAATGAGAACAGAACAGTTTTACAGTGTGCTGATGCTTTGGCCACACTGTTTTACATTCCTTCCGCCTCCATGATACTTTGATTTGTCCCATCTTCTATACTGAACCAAGTTGGCATTGTCGCAGAGACCACTAGGAGATAGACGGACCAAGGCCACATTGCAGGTGGACTGATATGAGTGAGCAAGGACTGGACTKCTCAGGACCGTGACTCCAGCTGGATGAAAAGAACCTTTTTATGGTAAATTGTTTTAACAACAGAGATATGCTGGTGATGGATGATCTTGAATAAGCAAAGAACACTGAATTTTTATTTTTGGCTGTTGAAGAAACTGAGAAGATTTTTGAAACATCATCTGCTGAGAGTGAGTAAAAGCGTCATGATGCCTCCTTACTTTTCCAAAGAGGATTTCTGCCAGCTTCTCCAAAAGGTGACGGTGTTGGAGCTCAAGATTCATCGTCTGGAAGAGATGAATGCTTTGGAGAACTCAACATGTGTTAATATGGATGAGAAGGCTGAGATGAGAGATCAACATGAAGAGGAGATGGAAGCTGCTTCTGAGTGCAAAACTGTATGGAACTCTCTTTGTGCCAGACCAAAAAATCTCTCAGGAAGGATTCAGCTCTTTGATGACAACGAATGGCCAGAATTACAGAGAAATGCCTTTTCTCCTACAGCAAGAAGAAAGCGACAGGCTGTAATCAAAACAGCTGCTAACGGCCAGAGAAATGAAGCAGTGTTTCTTCAAAACAGATTCACATCACTGGAAGAAACTGAGTCTGAACAAAGTTCCCTATCTGATCTCAGTGAGTGATCTGAGACCAGATCCAGATCCAACTCAAAGCCAAAGCAAGTCCGAAGAGAGACTTTCAAGAATCAAGAAATGCTGATCATCACAGATAAAATGGTGAATGAGATCAGAGGCTTCTTGAACAAGAAAAAGGTCAAAGTTCTGAGTTTTGCTGATAAAGTGTCTGACCTCACAGAGAAGGTTCTGGAAATAACAGCTGAGTATCCATCTCTGAAGACCCTCATCATTCATACAGGAAGTGCTGAAGTTATGAACCGACAGTCAGAAATCCTGAAGAAGGATTTTGTTCAGTTGCTGAATGCAGTTAAAAATCTGAACATGGATGTTTTCATCAGTGGGCCCGTTCCTACAGTCAGAGGAGGAGCTGAGAGGTTCAGCAGACTTTTGGCTCTTAATGGTTTTTTGAAAAAGTCCTGTGCTGACCACTCTGTGAAATATTTGGACAACTTTGATCTATTTTGGGAAAGAAAACACCTCTTCAAATCTGATGGAATGACTCTGAATCAAACTGGAGCACAACTTTTGGTTTCCAACATGAAGTATTT